AGATACAGAAAAATAAGTAGCTGTCTGCATGTCAGCATAAGCCATATTTTCGCAAACAGGTAGTAAGCATTGTGGCAGTGGAGAAAATTCCCAGTCACACACCGGCCCGCTCCTTGGACTCTTAGAAGGACCCGAGTCCAAATTTCTCCACGGTCATGTCTGAAAGGAGGCCATGGTAAGAGTTTTTCTGCAGGACCATAATTGCTTAGTCCACCTATTTTCTATAGATAGTTACAATGAACTGAATGTGGAACTAATGGTTGAACAAAAATAAAACCGTATTTTCCAGGCTTTAGGATTCTCTGACAATTAAATTTCCTAAAATACCCAGTCTTCTGCTTGTTTGAAACCTCCACAAGATAATAACGAGCACTATAGATTTCAGATCAACAGCAGTGAAACTTAGCGCCCTGTTGCCTCTCGCAGTAATCCTCTGCAGAGCACGGGGTGTCCCAGGCCAGCACTACTGACGGCCCCCGAGGCCCCCAGCCTGGCCTCCTGCGTCCGCTTCTTAGCGCTCATACCTTCTGCAGTTTGGGGAGAAAACTGCCTCTGTCTGTATAAGCACAAACATGAAGAAATGCTTAAAATCCTCCTGGATGTCACCTTATAAAATGTCTTGCGGTCCTGGAGAGCAAACCCAGAGGCTGTGCGTGTGAGCCCCTGCAAAGAAGTGGCTGGCCCTGGCAGTCTGCTCCCCTTTCTCTCCCTGAGTTCTCTCTCTCCCCCCCATTAAGTTATTAAAATGGGATTCATACCCCAGGTCTCGGCTGATCTCTGTGAAATGCAGGACCAGTAGTGAGCGACTCTGAGAACAAGAGTGATGACTACTGATGAATTTCTACATCATTAATATCATGCTATGAATGTTGGAGCTGGTGAATTTCCCATATTGCTATGATAAAATACCTTGAAGATGTGTAGTCATATTTACCCATAATAATTATACCCACCCAGTGATATTTTATATATTTTTAAACAAGTAAGTTATCCAACACTTTGTAACTTATTTAAGTGGGATAATTTTAATGTCATCCAACTCTAATTAGAGAAGACTGATTTTAAAAATTGATTAATTAAGAGTTAGTTCTGTATGTATTTATTTTCCCCCATGCCTATTCTCTACCTCAGTGTATTATTATGAATTTTGTTAAATACTGGCAAGTTTTAGTTCTTTATTTGTATTATGAAAAATGTAAGCAACTTTTATTTTTGTGTACTTAGTCTCCCAAGAGAAAAAGAAGAAATGCATTTATGGAATATAATGAGCTGAGCTATTAAAATAAACGACTATGTTTGGGTGTTTTAATGAAATCCTTCCAGCCCTCTTCACTTGAGTCCTTAAATTTATGACAATTATCTAATGTTTATAGATATTTAGATAAAAAGCCACAATGACACTAACATGAAAACAACTGCCCAGTGTTGTACAAGAATTTTGAAGAATGGAGCAGGCCCAAAATGTCATGTTTTCCTTTCCAAAGGAACTTCGAGATAGAAAAGGAAAACCAAAATGCTCTAACCTACCCATCTGCTTAAGGCCATCTATCTTTGCTCCGTTTGCCCCACGTCTCTTCTCACGCTCTTGCCGAACTTAAGTGGTGCTCCAGTGGCCTGTTCTACACACAGGGGCGCACACTTGCCCCTTCTGTTCCCAGCGCCTCTGGAGAGATGGTCTCAGCATCTCGAAGGGCTGCGTCCCCCATCTGCTAGCACCCTTCGGCCTCCCAGCCTCTCCTTGCCCACCGCCAGGCTTGGAGTTCTTCTGTAAACGCTCCCCATACACGCATTGTCTTAATGGCACTTGCATAATTTATTATATAATGATGTCCATGTGGCAGATATATAAAATGACTCATTCAGTAATTTCACAGCGGTCTTACATGCAATGCCGCGAGACTATTAAACTAATGCGATGATTCATTCAGCACTAGGTTTTGCCAACACTAATTGGAATTTTGATTATGTCCCCAAAGTACTTGGGAAAATATGTTTGATAAGCACACCCATCAATTTTCTTACTGCTAGGTGTGATACTCTTGCCATATTAATGGCTTTCTCTGCTGCCCTGGGCAGCCATTGGCGGTGGTACATGTATTTCAAAGTTCTGAATGGAGTTGGTGTTATTCTCCTATAAAAATGATGGAAATATGGTGACAAAGTGTAATGCCTGTTTATGTTTTAAGAATTGTTGAAGGAATCCACATTTGTGTAAGACAAAATGAACAAGTAAAATAGAAAAGTTACTCATAATGTCCTTTTTAATCACTAAATTCCTTCAGAAAGATGAAACCCACATTATTATACTCTGTTAAAATTTAGGGTGTAGTGCTGGGCAGATTATTTATTTCATCTAATGCTTTGTTCTATGATGTCGGTCGGTGCTTGGCTTTCACGCTGAGTTTTGTAGCGTGGGGTGAAGACAGGTGCACGCTGATGATTTGTATCAGGACGCCGTCTTGGGAGCCTTGTCTCAGGGGTGTGGCCATGCTCTTTTTAAAGTGGTTGTAAAATTCCTCTCTTCAACCTAATTTAGCCTTTAAAAGCATCACTGAGTGAGGGATTATTAGGCACAGCTCCTGTGGAGAGACTGAAAGTTGCCCCCCCCATGCCTATGGGTCACTCAGGGCTCTTGGGCTGCTCCTACCAAACCTCCTTCTTTCCTGTGGCCCTGGCCCTGCTGCTCCCTGCAGCTATTTTACGTCCTGGGCTGCTTTGGGCAGCAGCAAATTCCCACTTAGGTCCCACCCCCTGTTAAGCTTTCACACTGCAGAATCTGACTTGAGAGTTTCAGTCTCACTGACTCCTGGTCATCCTGCGTTCTCCCTTCTCCTCCCGCTGCTGCCTCTGCTGCTCCGCACAGCAGACCCTAAGGCTGTGGGCTCCTCAGAATGCCCTCCAGCCAGCCGGCCACCAGATTCTTCGCTCACCCGCTGCTCTCCAGCTTGCCATCAGGGCCCCGCACCATCGACTCTAGCATAGCAAACACAGCCCCTGGTGTAGGACCCATCCCTGCCTGAGCTGCGGTGTTGGCTATGCCCACCTGGCACAGGCTCTCTTAGTTCCTGGAACTTGGGTTACCACCTGCTGCTTGTCCTTACTCTTGTGCTCAGCAGTCAGGAAGAGACTCAGAAGCCCTAGATCTGAGGAGCTCAGGGCTCCTCACTCGCCTCAAGGCTGCTCAGGGTGTGAAGCCAGCTTTCCATCTGTCCTCACCTCTGCAAGACTGGGTCGCACTTGGTCCAGGGCGGGAAGCCGTTTGCCCCTCTCCAGGAGGTTTCCCTCTCTTTGCTTGTCTTTAAGGATTTGCATGCAGCAGACACCTTTCTTGGTCATGTCACTTGACTTGGGCGTGACTGTTCATTATAATTAAATTGGACTTCCTGTGGTCCTATTTTAACTTGCCTGATTTGAAAGTGATTACTGTTTGTAAAATAGGCTAAGTGAATATTTACAAATGCACCCTCAGTGCTCATAAACCTTAGACCGGAAGGAGCATCCAGGCGAGCTCCGAAGGCGCGCACGCGCACTCGCCCAGGAGGAGCTCCGCGGAACACAAAGCCAGCGAGCCCGAAGGCAGCAAAGGGCAAAGGTGCACACAAGGTGGGAAGGCAAGCTCAGGGAGCAGCAGCGCAGGCGCGTCGCCAAGGACGCTGCCTTCCTGGGGACTGCTGATCGTGGCACCAGAAGCTGGAAACCGAGAATGTGGTGCCTGGCGCTGGCTTTTACTTTCTTGCTCTTGGTCTTGCTGGGAAGTTTCTTACCTGGACTCAGTAATCGTCATTTCCCATTCTGAACGAGCTTGTCAGCCAGGGCCTAACACAAATCCTAACAGTTTAGCATTTTTCCTGCGTGTTTTATTTAGGGCTACTAATTCGTACATAGGTCACTTTCAACAGCCAACTCCATTTTGTGACACTAAATGCCAATCCAGACCCTCCCACGCCCCTTGGTAGCCTCAAGTTTCGCTCTTTCTGAAAGGGCTGCATTTTAACATCGTCACAAACGACTGTCCCTTAAAGACAACAGTTATAGCCCTCCCGCCATTTACTGAGACTATAGCTTTCTTTGCTAAAATAAAATTAAAATGTCCCCACATTGCTGCTATTGTTTTCCTGTGCCCCACCGGAGGGAGCCTGGCTTCATGCTTCTATTGCCATTTTTATTTTTTCTTCTCGCGTTGAAAACAGGTACATCTCTGGCGATGTTTGAAATTCTTTTTTTTTTTTTTTTTTTTTTGGCGGAGCCGGGGATTGAACTCATGATCTTACGCTTGCCAGGCAATCGCTTATTCTACTGAGCTATCTCCCCGGCCCCAAGATTCTTTTCGTTAGAAAAATGGAGCACAGGGCTAGGTAGATAGCTCAGAAGCATAAGCACCGACCTGGCAAGCACAGGGTCCAGAGTTCGATCCCCCTATTTGCATGCTGCACCGCCCTGCCCGGAACCGGGCGTGGTGGTGCAAGCCTGTAAACCCAGCACTCCGGCAGTTGGGACAGGAGGATCACTACAAGTTTGTGACCAACCTGGGGGTTACAAAAGTGAGCACAGGGCGAGACCCTGTCTCAAAGCAAACATACAAACAAAAAAAGTAGAGCACACCGTGGGGCCCCAGAGCTAGGCGGAGCTGGAAAGCGCGGTAGGGCTGAGGCCGCTGCTGGCCCTCCAGCCCAGGTGTGCGCGCTCCGCCTCCAGGGGCCCGCCCTCCTCCCCGCTTGTCCCGCCCCGCCCCGCCCCTCGCGCGTCCCGCCCAGGTACGCTCCCGCCCAGGTACGCGGCCAGCCCAGGTGCGCGCCCCGCCCAGGTGCGCTCCCGCCCGCCCCAACTCAGGTGCGCCCCCCCTAGGTGCATGTACTTTTGCGGCCCAGGTGCGGACTTGCTGGGTCGCGGCGGGCGGGACGCCAGGGCTCGAGTTTCGCAGGCTCGAAACTCCGAGCGCGGGCCGCGCGCATTTGCCAGATTCGGAGGACTGGGGCTCGGCGGGGCGCAGGGAGCCCACCCTCGCCCGGCGCTCCGGCTCCCGCTCCCACCCGGCCACCCCTGCCGCGAGCGAACCCTGCGCGGGCGGTGAGTGAGGGCGAGTCCACGGCTTGCCAAGCTCTGGGCTCGGGGTTCGGAGTGTGCCCCCTCCTCCTCCCGGCATCCTGGGGTTGCGAGCGCTGGGAAGTTTGCAAAGTTTGGTAGTGGGCAGGGCCGGGCGAGGAGAGAGGAGGGTTCCTGCTCGGGTTCGCGGGTTCCGTTTCCCCGGGTAGCAGTGCTGGGGTTCCGGGAGGAGGACTAGTGTTCCAAGAGCCGGGCTCGGCTCCCGGGAAAGTGGGGGCTCGGATGAGTGGTGCGGGGCGCGGAGCCGAGCGCCAGGAGGGAGCGGTCTTTCCACACGTCTGGGCGGTGTTGGGGACCCGCGCTGAGCAACGTGCGGCCGGGCTAGGCTGCCTGGGCTGGCTGTGGGCTCCCGGAGTTCTGGGTGACTCTGGACAGCGCTGGGCTTGAGAGCCGCTGCTCCGGGTGCGGTGACCTCCCCGGAGGGCGTGACCCAGCCTGTCGGGGCCGGGACTCGGAGGCTTCGGCGGGGTGGGAGTGGAGTCTTAGCTGGGGAAGACGGACAGCCACTGACGGGTGTGTGTGTGTGTGTGTGTGTGTGCGCGCGCGCGCGCGCGACGCCGGGACCGCCGCGGGTGGAGACCACGGTGCTTTACCGGAAGAGCCTGCGAGCTTGGGAGCTGGGGGCAGCTCGGCCCTTACTGGCATGGAGGTCCGCGAAGGGCGGGCTGGAGTGCAGCGCCGCAGCCCGTGTGCAGAAGCTCTTGCTAAATGCCTGCCCGGTTCCGCCCGGCCCCGCCCTGCTCCCGTTCCCATCCCAAGGAGCCCCGAGGAGATGGTGACTGACGCTAAGTCAGGGAGCAGCAGCTGGAGATGGGACCGGCGCTGGAAGGGAAGGCAGAAGGGCAAGCCGGTCTTCCAGGGGCCTTGGCCATGGCGCTTGGTTTCTCCCTGTTCTCGTCACAGTTCCCAGGATGACAGAGGCCCCAGGCCTCCGGATAGCTAGTTCCACGCCCTTGCTCTGTGGGGGGCACTCGCGGTGTGCGCCCCTGGGCTGCCGGCTGGGTGGGGGTTGGCAGCTCTAGGCCCAGCTGCGCACTCACTGTGGGAAGCTTCCCAGTTGGACAGTTGCTGAGAGGGCCCATTGCGTAGATGGAGACACACCACGCCTCTGCGGCTGACTCAGTGACTACTGTCCAGAGCTCTCTAAACTCTTCTTGGTGAATTAATCTTTGTCACACTGTTGTATGGCTTCCTGTTACCTCAGCCCCTCACAGTTTCTTCACTGAGAATTGTGGTGGACATGAGCCACCCTGCTGCAGCTCACTTGTGTTCCATTCGGTGACATTACACAGTGCTGACTTTCTAAGGTGGTACATTTATGACTGCTGTGCATTTATGACTGCAGAATCTTGGGCTGAAGCTGTGATCCCAGTAAAGTGGGTGTCTTCTGAAACATAAATCTGGTTTGGGGAGGCCCATTTAGCTTAATTTGACTAATTATTTATAAAATTACAAGTTGTCCTTGTCTAGCTAGTCTGGTAACTTTGCAGGTTGGTTGCAAAATGTAAGTGTCCCCAGCATGGTTTTCGCTGCAGATCTGATGAGCACAACGGTAGTGTGCATTTCTTTCCGAGATGTGCTTTTGCTCACCTGGTTTCTCATCTGGAAATGGGGTGTATTTCAGAGCTTTTTGGTGAATGCATCATTGAGGAATCGGAGTGCACCTCCTCATTGAAGCATTTCTCAGTCGTGCCCACTGCAGGTGCCACTGATAAACTTCTTTTGTTCAAGTAGTACTGAGCACCTTTAACAGTCAAGGCCACTGACATTTCTCTGAGGAAATCCATGAGAGAGGCTGAGAGAATTCCTTTAGGGGTGGGCGGGTGGGCGGGTTGGTGGGCACAGGCTCTGTCTGCACACAGCCCCGCCCGCCCTCAGAGGTCCAACAGGTTTTTCAGGAAGGTGGGTGCTGGCAGCCATTGGCAGGCTGAGGGCTGGGTCAGCTCCATCAGGAGGTAGGGGTATGCGAGGCAGTGTGGGGGACAGGTTAGCTCTAGACTGTCATGCAATCCAGAAGACTAGGCTGTGCAGCAGGAGGTGGGGGCCGCTTCTGCAGAGGGTGTTCTCCGGGGCCATGGTGCAGCGAGGGCCCTGGGTTGGGTGGCGGTGGAGAGACGATCCATGTGTAAGGCAGAGTCCTGGGAGGTGTCTCTTCTAGGAAGTTCAGTCATGGTCATGGGTGATATTAAGGAAACTTTCTCTGGGGGATATCTAATTGCTACTGAATTTATACTTTGTTGTTTTTTACATTGTTCTTAGAAGTGGATGGAGTTAGGCATCTCCTAGGGGCAGTGGGTGTTTACGTTCTGAGCTCTGTGTCCAGTAATTTGTAGAATACACCTTGCTGTGGAAGATAAGGCACTGATGGTCAGCCCGTCTGGAGTTCTGGCATGGGGTCAGGTGTAATCACTGTGCTCCTTCACCGGCCGACTTTAAAGCACTTACCCAGAAGTTTTGCAGCGGCGGTGTGGGCTAATAACGGGCTGCTTGACGCTGCTTTACACTCAGTGTTCATTAGAGAGTCACCATTACGCTCCAGCCCAGATGCTTCTCCCATTCCCACACCTTGAAGCCCTCATCTTAAGTGCAAGAAATCATACATGAGCTTAAATATCTCACGGTTTCTCTCATATGAAAAAGCCAACATATAAATAATTTAAAGAGCAAAATAAAAGACAGGTAACGGGCCAGGGAGGTAGCTCAGTAGAATAAGTGCTTGCCTGGCAAGCACAGGGTCCTGAGTTCAATCCCCAGTACCACATAAAAAAGAAAAAAAGGAGAGGTAACAGGAAGCTAGATCTTTGGCAAATAGGAAAGAGAAAAGGAGGGGGAGGAGTCGGGAGGGGAGAACCAAGAAGGTCCTGTGCGTGTTCGGCTTCCCGAGGTGAATGCAGTCATTGTGTGCAGCAGACACGTGTGGATAAGCCTGCAGAAGCGCGTGACTGAAAGCGCTGGTGAGTGCTACAGAAGCGAGCGGGCCGGGCTCGCTGTGTCCTTCCGATTCCTGAAGGCCCTGGCTGTACTGGATGTGTTCATCGTTTGTGAGGTTGAACGTCAGCGCCCCAGATGTTAGACAGGCCTTGGGCTCTGCGGGCTGCTCTCGAGCTCACCTGGCGTGGTGAAGTGTGCGGGTTCTGTGACCCTCCCCTTGTCCCGCCCTGCTCCAGAGCGCTCTGCAGCCACCTGGTCAGGGCACCGCACGGTAATGGCACGCAAGTCTCCCTGCAAGTTCATGACTTGCACTTCTATTGTCACTTTTCATCCCGAGGGGTTTCGGCTCTCCACTTACTGTCAGGCTGCTTTTCTGGATGTATAAACATTACTCACTTGGGAAGAAAAGTGGTTTTCAAAGCTGGAAAGGGTGTCTTCCACCCCTGGCTGGGCGAGTCGCTCCGCTCGGGACTTCGTCTGAATGGTCCTTTCTAAACATGCACGGGCAGGGTGCCTTCCGGCTGCCAGCGCGCTGCTGCGGGCGCGCGCTCTCCTCTGACTCATCTTGGGCCGTGCACTCCTCAAGTAGCGACAGAGCTTCCCGTGGCTTTCTGGGGAAGGGCGCGCTGTGTTGTGACAGCATGCCTGTGATTCAGGTTTTCAGTCTCAGCTCTTCCCACCTCCCCCGCTAGCTCCCTGGCTTCCTCCTCCTCCCTTTCATTCCGTGTCTCTTCTGCCCACACTTTTTTTTCTCTATACTTCTGTTTCTTTCTCCTCTTTTCCTGTTGACTTTTCCCTTGCTACTTCCTATTTCTCTTTGTCTATTTCTCCAACTATTCACTTATCTTCGGTACTTAGTTATAGTACCTGCTATCTAGAGTAAAAATATCAGTCCTTGTACATTGAAAGTAATAAAAAGTGCCTCGTGGCAAGTGCCTTATTCTGTAATCTCAACAGTATTACTCAGATACAGTGTCTATTTCTAGGCATCTAAAAGTGAAATTTATATGAAAGCAAATAATAAACATATAAAGCACATAATTTTATTCTTTATGGCTGAAATATAATCATAAATTAACTTTGACTGATAAATGCAATTTTCAACCATTTCTAGCATTTTATATATGAAAAGTTGTTCCTTTCTCAATAGAACATGTGTATGTGAGCATCTGATTAAGCTACAGACGTGCTTGCTTTGCTAGGTCTGCTCAGATCTGCCTCTGCTTCAGTGAAATGCACCTTATGAGGTAAACAACATTATAGAAAGCAAGACCTTAGTTTTTCCCTTTCCCAAGAACTTAGAAGTTCAAACTAGATTTGTAATGTGCCGTTAAGCACATCAATGAGACATTAAAAAGCAAGAAGATATATGATAAACCGATGTTTCAATAGAAGATATGTGGTGGTGTGCGGCCCGCTGAAGTAATTTGGGAGCTGGTGGGTTGAAGACTGGCCTTATCACAGAAGATACGTTGAGAGTCAGGGGCTAAGAAGGTCCAGGGTGCTCAAGATCAAAGTAGGAGGCCTTGTATACATAATTGAATCTTACTTTAAACAAAACAAAACAAAACAAAAAAAATCCTCTTAGCAGGAAAACAGTGCTGAAGAAAATTATAATTGTAACATATATCTACAATTCCTGTGTCTACTGTAGAGTAAAAATATCAGTCCTTATACATTGAAAGTAATAAAAAAGTACCTTATGACAAAAACTCTAATTTGTATAGTAGCAGGTCAATTTTTGTACATTCGGGTTGAAATGTATTCTCTGAGAACAGCTCACATTTGATTCAGAATCAAAGCCATGAGTAAGTCCCATTAAGAACATAAGATTTTCAAACTAGTTGAAAGTCTTTGTTTACACAGTTGAATTTCTCCTAGTTGGCATGTTAAGTCTTGCATGTTGATGAATTAGGATAAGCAGTTCTAGAGAAAAAGGAAGTAAAATCCCTTCAAGGTCATTGGGTCAAAATATGGTTCCAGGAGGTTGAGTGGGGAGTCCTTGTGCCCCGTAAGTGGGTGAACATAGCTGT